TTGGTAAAGCAAGGCTATGTGAAATTCAATGGAAGCGTCAGCTCTACTCATATCATTGTGGAAAAATTCTTCTTCTACCAGTTCTTCATCACATTAAACGAAATTTGGTGAATACATCTCATATTACTGATTTACTGGTAGTCACGAAAACAATTATTTATTCGAAAAATACTTGGTATCACTTATCGGAGAGTATATAGTAGAGTGATATCCTGTTTGTCGTTGTTTCCATAGCCACTGCAAGATGCCCTTTTCATGATATTTTTTCTCTAGCAAGCATCATAATAGAATTCTTATCATCCAGACTGAAGACCGATTTATATACCATCCAGAGTTGCAAATTTGGATGAGTTTTTGTGTGTGAGAAACTGCTTTTTATAGGTGCCTGCGGGGTAAAATGTAAGGATATATCAGTACTCTTTTTTAACTAATCACAAATATTTGCCTTATTAGTGCATCTAAGCAACAATTTGTAAGTTTCTAGTATCCTAAAAGATAACTAGATTTCCACATTGGTGCATTTAGCCGACTTTGAGCAATATTTCTCAAAGTATCTTTTAACTTTGTTAAGGGGACCTTCATTTCGAATAAAAGTGCATGAGGAAGAAACGAGGCAGGAAGTCTCGCGGACTGCGTCCACATGAATATCGTATAAAATCCAAACGACTGCAGTACAAAGAGTTTCACCCGTCCTCATCTGGTGAGATCGACCAACGAATCTCTTCCTCATGCACCTTCATTCGAAATGAAGGTCCCCCAAACAATGCTATCTCAGGAGATTCATCTAAACCAAGTTTCTCTTCGTATCTTTTAATTTTTCAATTTTTTACTATTCGTCCCGAATGTAGAGCAAATATTTTTATCAATTAGTCATTGGTCCAAAATTCACGATAGGTCCTCAAAGGTGTGCAGCAGCAATTTGTCACTAGCATCATTAGCACTACTAACAGTAGTTGGAGAGTAAGTAGCACAAACACTCTTACTGCTGTTACCACCTGTACTACGGGCTTCATCAAGCCATAATGTTCAAGCTAAAGCATGCTTGGGGGACGGCACAAAGACAAAACTAAGTTCTAGGTTTCGTATAACACAGAAGGCGCCTTCATAGAATGTGGGGCGAGACGTGTGATTACGCATTCTTGTCACTTCTTTGCAATACTCACGAGATATGCACGGTTTGCCGATCTGCATCATAAGTTCAAATGTCTGCGGACCATACAGATTTGCGTGCAATTTCGCGTGCAGTTTATAAATATTTCAACAAAATCGATTCTCAACCAGTCAGAAGTCGGCCGCTTTCGGCGAACACGGGCAGGAAGCTTTGCGATGAGGAAAGACTTGAAACAAAGCTTGAACAGGAACGGTTTGGCCTTCAAGGATGGCCCCAAGAAGGAGTATTTACGTAAAACAAGAAAATCCACGGTGCCCTATCGTCAAAGTGCATTTAATAGACTTCCTCGCAACCCTGCTATCCGACTTAGGACCAATCCCTCTGCAGCGTTAAGCCATGTCAATGCAAGCCAGACTTCGGAGCCTGCTAAAGAAAATTGTTGCGATTGTTCTGCTGCTACAGTTCCGCAGAAACGGAATCAAATTGAAGGAGAGTTCACTTCGTTACCTATCAGCATGGACCCCAGTGAGGCTTTAATCCGGCTGCGGAACCTACGAACTCGAAATGGCATGCCTTCAACTATGCCTGTCGCACCAGACGGTAAGCCTAATAGCGTAGAAAGGAGAGAAAAAGACTCCGCCCTTACTCTTTTCAAGGCCCCAAATGAATCATATATAAAATTATACCTAAAATAAGAGTTTGATAATGGTCTTTCGGACAAATCTCGTCTAAATCGGCGAGACCTTACATTAATTTCAGTTTTATTTAATTTTTGCCTAATGATCTCGAGTAATCAACCAGCTGCAGCCTGGATCAGATTCACATACCC